CGGCCCAACCAGGTTCTCGGTCCCCATCGCTGGGCGCCCTGCCAACGGGGAGAGAGGCTGGTACCAGAACGAGAAGAGGAACTTTGAGGTGCTCACCAGCCTCGGTAGCGCGCAGGCGCTGGGCCCAGGGGCTTGGGGAACCCGCCAGGCTGCTGGGGGCTCAAGCGGCTCCATCCGCCTGCAGCTCCCTCCTGCGTGGACACCCATCAGGGGGAATTTGCTCCTTCGCATCACAGCAGGGCTGGTGCTGATGGTGCAGCGCTCACAGCAACTCGTTTTACTCTCCCATCCCAACCGGGCCGGCCACACGGGCTTCCTCGTGCTTTTTGCTCCTCCAGGCTCTTTGCTTTCAGGACAAAGGTTTTGTCTCTTTCCAGCTCTCAGTGTCCCTCGACCAGCTTTCCTGTGTCACCACCCCAGGCAGGCCACCAAGCTCCAGGAGGTGGACCCTGAGGACTCTGATGAAGAATGGGCTCCAAGGCAGCAAGGTGAGGGGCAGGAGGAGCCTGAGCTGCCCTCCTGGCATGAACCTGGTTTAGGTCAGGCTGCATCTCAGGACATAACCAGGCAGCAGGGTTTGCTTGTCCAGCGAACACGCAGGATGCAGAACAGTGTGTGGTACAGTGAGGGGATATTCCTGTAAACTTTCAAGTCTGCAAAATCATCTTATATATTTATAGACACATTAATAACCAGTAAATGTGTAGGAATATACAAGTGAATAAGAAATAACTAATTCAGAAGAGTTGTCATCGAAAGAGAGAGAGGCAGGTATGGTTGGTATGGAGTGTCCCCATACATGGCTGCCACATGGCCTGCATGGGAACAGTATTAACATGGTGATTATGGAGCTGCGGGGAGGGCCAGGGTCGGAAGTGGCTGATCACTGTATTGTTTCCTGATATCAGCTATAGTGCCGTTCTGTCCTATATCATGAATGTTTGATTGGTGGGGTCAGTCTACTTTCATGGGTCTTGGGTTGAAACACAGATGAAGTCAAGATGTGATCTTCAACTTGACTGGAATTCTGTGCCTGTGATCATCAGACAGTGGATGCCAACCAGAGTCTAATGATAAGGGCGTGGATGGCCAGTATGTGCACAGGAAGGAGGATACCAGAGAAGGGAGGTGAGGGGTTGGTAGTGCCCTTAGCCTGGACAAGGCCAGTTTGAATGAAGACAACAGAGCAGAGAAAGGGTTATGTTGAAGACATGGAGTTTCTGTGCAGTTACTTTTATTACATTTTTGTCAGGAGAGGCCAATTTATTTTTTAATAAATGTAATAGATACTTTAAGAACATAGGAGGAAGTGTAGAAGAAACTTTGTCTATTTTTTTTATCATTCTAATGAAATTCGTGGATGTCCCAAATAGAAGTCTAGGCCTTAATGATACCTCAGAAAACATTTTCCAACCATCCTTGGATTGTTCTTGCACTACTCTCATTTACAATTGTGTGTCCCTAAAAAGAATCTCCAGATTTTAGAAACAGTTACCAACCAAAACACTGACTTCTCATCATCTTTCAGTGAAACCTCCTGAAACATGGCCTTCAGAAGGGAACAGTAGACACCAGAAGGTGAGTGTTTCCCAAATCCTGTTGACAAGAAAATTTTCCTCATGGATAGAAATGCAGGTAAGAGTAGGAAAATGCAGAAAGTATCCTAGGAACCGCTGCCTTCCTTTCCAGGTCTTTTCAATGCATTGTCAACATTATAATCTTTTTAAAAACATTTTATTTATTGATTTTTTTAGACAGAGGGGAGAGGGAGAAAGTAAGGGAAAGAAGCATGTGCAAGACACACCTGTATAGGTTGCCTCTCACACTCCCCCAAGTGGGACACCTGGTCCCCATCCCAGGCATGTGCCCTGACTGGGAATGGAACTGGTGACCTTTCACTCTGCAGACCAGCGCTCACTCCACTGAGTCACACCAGCCAGGGCTCATCATCATCTATTTTTTTTTATTATAATTTATACTTTTTTAAAAATTTTTTATTTAGTTATTTTTCAAGTACAGTTTTCTGTTTCTTTCTCCCATCCCAGCGCACCCCTCCCCATGCACCCCACCTCCCTCCCATTTCCACCCCCCTTAGTTATTGTCTCTGTCCTTTATACTTGTTCCTCTAAATCCCTCCCATTTTTTCCCCTTAAATTCCCTCCCCTCTCCCCTCTGGTCGCTGTGCCCCTGTTCTCTATTTCAGTGTATTTGTTTTTATTTTGCTTGCTTGTCTGTTTTGTTGTTTAGCTTCTCGTTAAAGGTGAGATCATATGGTATTTGTCTTTCAACACCTGGCTTATTTCACTCAGCATAATGCTTTCCAGTTCCATCCATGTTGTTGCAAAGGGTAGTAGTTCCTTCTTTCTCTCTGCTGCATAGAATTCCATTCATCATCATCTTAATAGTTAACAACTACAGCAACAATAGTAACTACCATTTGTTTCATTCTCATGTTTCAGACTTTAAGAATTCTGTGTGAATAAACTCACTCAAACATTACAACGACCCGATGAGGTACATACTATAACTCACCATTCATGATGAGGGAAGTGAGCTTTCAGAGATACAGAAATGTTTGACTATATGTCTAAGATCACAGTGTCAGTGGTAGTGCAATCTAACCCATAGTTGCTTCTCTAAACCACTTACCAACTCATTGAAACTTTCATAGTTTTACCCTAGCCAGCGTGACTCAGTTGGGTGTCATCCTACAAAGCGAAAGAGCGCTGGTTTGATTCCTGGTCAGGGCGCATGCCTGGCTTGTGGGCCAGGTTCCCGGTTGGGGTACTTGTGAGAGGTAAGTGACCAATGTTTCTCACATCAGTGTTTCTCTCCCTCTCTTTCTCCCTCCCTTCCTGTCTCCCAAGAAAATAAACAAAATCCGCCCTGGCTGGTGTAGCTCAGTGCATTGAGTGCGCCTGCGAACCAAAGGATTACGGTTCGATTCCCAGTCAGGGGACATGCCTGGATTGCAGGCCAGTTCTCAGTGGGAGACCCACGGGAGGCAACCATACATTGATATTTCTCTCCTTTTCTCCTTCACTTCCCCCCTAAAGATAAATGAATAAAATCTTAAATAAATAAATAAATATCTTTTTTAAAAATTAGAAAAATACACTTTCATAGTTTTCTAAAGTTTACATTGTCTTAACAATATGTCATTACATCATTCATCTGACTGATGGTTTCAACCAAAGTTCTTCTCTGCTATGCTGAAGTGAGAAATGCACCAAGACTAAGGAAAGCATACAATGTGTAGGCAGTTTGTATAGTGGATGGTCCCAGATGAAGAAGAATGTAAAGTGTCCAGGATCACAGCCTCCCACTCTAATAAAGAGCATCTCCCACCCCTGAGGAGCTTCAGGTTTCATGATTGTGGAATAACAAATAATAAAAGGACTTTAGGATTTCATATAGGTTACACACTATGCAACAGAAACTCATGCGTCTGGAATTGATTTCAAATCCCCGTATAGGGTGAAGTAACAGCTTTGTCTGAGTTGTAATGAGGCCACTCTCATCTTGTTTAGAATCATTTGTTCATCCTGCCTACTTTGTGTTGTGAGCTGTTTGAGAGCCTGGTCCATACCTGAGACTTCTCAGAGGTCACAGGCCCAGATCAGGGCCCCTGAGGGCCTCCGAATGTTTGCTGAATGAATGATTTCACAATTACAAAATAAATTAGAACATGGTCAATGAACGCTGAAAGTAATTGCTGTGGGATTGAAATAGGGAGAGAGATGAGGGGTATTGCAAATATTTATCGTTTTAGCTATTATGTAGACATGTTTCTGCCAACTATTTATTCTCTTCCCAATGTCCTTCACTGTCAATTTTATAGAGACAGTTGAAAGAAAAGCCATAAAGGCATGGGTTCTAATCTTGGATTTGTTACCCACATTGGCCCTATACCCTCTAATATTCATACTCCTGAGGTATTTCCAAGGATTGAAGTGTTAAAGACATGCATGTAAATTATATGATAGGCCTTAAAAAATTAAATACATGTTATCTTTTAATATATGACTCTTATATTGAAGGCAACATCCAGGGTGCCATTAAGCAATGAATATAGTTTGAAGGAATTGTCAGGAACAGCAAATTTGATGACTGCAAGTGACTCAGAGCATGCCCAGAAACCAGTGTTCCCGCCTGGAGAAACATGTGCCTTTGGAAAGCACACTAGACAAAAATCGGGTAAGAAAATAATTTGGGAACTTTAGTTCCTCTAAGTCCTACAGAAGGGCTAATAAGTATGACTTAGGTATGTGGGACAGACTTTGGTAGCTCTGGATTTAAGCTGGGCTAAGCTGAGACTGAAGTTACCACTGGACCTTTGGGCAAATCCTATCAATTCTCTGAGCTCCTGCATGCTAATGTGTAAAGTGAAGATAAGGAAACATCACTCATATATTTGAAAACATTAAATTGAACTTAAAACAGGTGACACATGCAAGCTGTCCAAAAAATCCATCTGTGATAATAGCAACCACACTGTACTGGTGTTGTGTGCCCAGGCCTTTACTCAATGCCTAACACATAATGTGCACTTAAATATTTTATGAATGATTTAAGGTTGGCAAGTTAAACCTGGTAATGGGAAGATCTAGAAACTAGAATTGAATTACTCATCTGTAGTTACCATGGCGTCTTAGTTTTCCAAACCAATAGTTAACAGTAAAATACCAGAGTATGCAAAAGGACAGGTAATAAATTGATGGGAGCAGATTGTGTGTTATCTGACAAAATGGGAACTAACACTATAGATCCCACCAACCTGGCTCACCTGCTCTTCTCCAAGTCAGAACTCAGGAGAAAGGAGATGGATGTGAAGATGTACAGCCTACAAGAAAGAGAGGACTGTGTGTACCAAAAGGTCACCGAGCCCCAGGATGATGACTACCTTTGTAAGTGACCCTCACTAAGAAGCAAGTTATGATACAATAATTTCATCTAGTCCTTTGGTCCCCAAATCATTCCCTTCCTCTAGGGACCTGGAGTACAGGATTGAGTCTCACTGATGTCAGTGCTGGACTGCCTCCGAAGCTCTTTGTGTCCAGGAACATGTGTTATACCTTCCCTAACCCCTGATGCTCTCGCCTCCAGATTGTGAGAAGTGTCAGAACTTCTTCATCGACAGCTGCGCTGTGCATGGACTCCCTGCATTTGTAAAGGACAGTGCAGTGGACAAGGGGCATCCCCACCGCTCAGCCCTCACCCTGCCCCCTGGGTTGAGAATCGGGCCATCCAGCATCCCTGAGGCTGGGCTTGGAGTGTGGAATGAGGCAGCTGATTTGCCTGTGGGTCTGCACTTTGGCCCTTATGAAGGACACATCACAGAAGATGAAGAGGCAGCCAAGAGCAGATACTCCTGGCTGGTGAGAACTATTTACCTCTTCCCCTGTCCTCTGGCTTCCCACATTCCTTCTCAAGCTTGGAGGGACCTCACCTCCTACGTGCTAGACATGGAGGGGACGATGTGGTTTGCTCTGTGTACTGACTGGACTTCACATGAACACAGAGCTCCTGTTTAAGGATCAGAAAGTAAGTGGGAGCAAAGTGGTGCAGACACAAAGGAGTGGCTTCTCCCTTGTGGGGCTCCTGCTGTGATTGGACAGGTAGACTCAGGTATGTAGGTGATGAGTAAGAAAAATATCATGTGGTCACAGCTGGCAGTGGAATCCCCATGCAGGCTGAATGAGCTTTGATGACTGTGGAGTAAAATAATTCTGACTATTACCTTCCCACCAAAAAAATAAAAGGTCTTTAACTTCTCTTCTGAAACACAGATCGCCAAAGGGAGAAACTGCTATGAGTATGTGGATGGAAAGGACAGATCCTGGGCCAACTGGATGAGGTGAGGTCAACAGGTCTCTGGGTGTCAGAGGGGACTCTCATCCCCCATGAGCCCCTATATCCATCCCTCTCGTCATGCCTCCGTCACTGGTCTCCCTCAGTCCTTTATTCATTCCCTCTTTTTCTCCATAGTGTTCTTTCATTTCAGGGGACTTTTAGGAAGAAAGTATAGCATATGTCCTCAAAATATAAAGCTCTCTACTAGACACAACTTTGGCTCTGGAAAGGTCCTTGAAGAGCCTAGATTCACCAGGGACACTGGATTACACTTTAATTTATCAAATGAACATTAATTAAGCACTTCGTATATTCCAGTTTAGGTGAAGGAATACATTACTTAAACAGATCACACAACCCAGGTAGACAAAAAGACCTCCAATTTTCTATGGTAATCTTGAGCAGGCAAGTGAATGATGCCCTAAGTAAAGTGTAGGAGGGTTAGAGAAAGGCCTCTCAAGAGAAAACAGACATGGGTTGAGTACTGGATAATTAATGAGCTAATTCAGAAGCAGAGCCCTAGATCAAGCACCAGGTTCTATGGTGTGAGACAAGTTGATTTAGAGTTTGGAGAATCCAGTATCACTGGATATTATGGCCAGTCATGGTGGAGGTTAAGTCTAGAACTGGGTTCTAGGAAATGGTATAAGGCAGGATGAACACTGCAAGCAGGACTTGGACGTAAGAATTCACATGACATGCTGGCAGACGCTCAGACACTGAACAAAGATTCCCCGGAATCATTAGGGGCCGTGGGCAACACCAGAGCCTGAGGGCCTTCAGAATCAGTGAGGAGCTGGACATGGATGTAACAGGTAGTGGGAACTCATCACTGTGCTTTTCTTTCCCTTCATCTGCCTCAATCCCAGGTTTGTGAACTGTGCCCGGGATGATGAAGAGCAGAACCTGGTGGCCTTTCAGTACCACGGGCAGATTTTCTACCGAACCTGCCGGGTCATCAGGCCGGGCCATGAGCTGCTGGTCTGGTGCGGGGACGAGTATGGCCAGGAGCTGGGCAGCAAGTGGGGCAGCAAGTGGAAAAGAGAGCTCATGGCCGGAAGAGGTGGGCACCACTGTTCTTCAAAACAGAAAGAAAAGAGAGAATTCTCCATAGAAACATTTATGATCCAACTCTTAAGTACAGTAAAATCTACTCTAAAGTCAGTAAAGTTTCAAATCACATGCTTCAGAAATTCATATGCCTTTGACTCTTAAGCAAAATTTTTATAATTTTTATTTTTAAAATATTTCGTACACAAAATACACAACCGCATGTAGTGCTGAAAGACTGAGAGGCAAAAAAGAAAAGTTTACAAGCACTAACCAGTTCTCTCACCCAGGCAGTTTTTCTGACACTTTTATAGTTGTTTCTTCTTAATTTTCCTCCATACTTCTAAATAAAACATTTTTGTTTGGAGGCATTAATTATTTTTTAAAGATTTTGTCCTGGCTGGTGTGGCTCGGAGGATGGAGCACCGGCCTGTGAACTAAAGGGTCACCAGTTTGATTCCCAGTCAGGGCACATGGCTGGGTTTTGGGCCAGGTCCCCAGTACGGGGCATGTGAGGCAACCATACATTGATGTTTCTCTCCCTCTCCCTCCCTCCCTCCCCCCTTTTCTGAAAAGAAATAAATACATAAAATCTTTTTAAACAAGATTTTATTTATTTTTATAGAGGGTGGAAAGAGGGAGAAAGAAAAATCAATATGCAAAGGAAACATTAATCAGTTGTCTATGGTGCACCCCCAACTGGCCCACAACCCTGGCATGTGCCCTGAGACTGGATCGAACTTGTAACCTTTCAGTTTTCAGACAACACCCAACCCACCACGCCACACCATTCGGGCAGGGCACATTCGTTCATCATTTCAGTGAATTATCATGAGAGATTGTACTTTGTGGTGCATGGTGTCCTGGGACCTGGAAATACAGGGTAATGTGAGGATCAGAATCACTGTTCTTGAGGAGCTGACAGGTGAAGGAGAGAAACCCAGGCACACCAGCTTGTGTGTGCATAACACCACACAGCAGTTACTGCTTTGGAGAAAACTAATGCAGGACAAGTGCCTGGGGATCAGTGTGAGGGGAGGCGTGTGGCAGGTGGTCCAGGAAGGGCTCTCTCAGGAGACAACATTTACAAAAATACCTGCGGGCAGAGGATCCCAGGCAGAGGGAGCAGCTAGTCCAGGGAAGGAAAGAGGTGGGGCGTTGAATTGGCTGAGGATCACTCAGGTCTCATCTCAGCACAGAGGATAAAAACAGAGATCAGACAGATGCTTAGCAGCCCGGAGGTGCAGTGCCGATGATCCGAGTTGAGACACTGGGGACTTTCCTGAATGAAAGTGTGCAGTTGTCAGCTGTAGAGTAGTGTGTTCTCTGTTCTGATTATGTTTTGTTAATTTTTAGAAAATAAACCCCAGTGGGGAATCCCCTCATATTACTTCATCTCCAAGTGACAGAGCATGGTGGCCTGGCTAGACAGGACCAGGAGTCAGGCGTGTAAGAAATGTAGTTGAAATATTTTGAAACAGGTCTTCTTTGTGTATTTGAAATAGTCTAACACTAAAAGATAAAGCATAAATAAACATTTGATGTGAGGCTTGAGGAAGGACATTTCATTTTACTATTTTGGAAAACAGAAGCAATTCCTAGTTGGAGCCTGTGGTTTTCCTCTTTAACATGACTTGGAAAATACCTACAGATGAGAAACGTCACTGCAGTTTGATCCACACAGGGAGTAAAATGCCCTCTCATGCTCCAAAAGTCCCTAGTCTGGGCAATAATAGAAAAGACCCTTGATGTGGGCTTTCTGGATTCTGAGGAAGATGCACTGCATAAAAACAAACAGGAAAATAGACGGCGAGTGGACACTGGGAGACAGACGTTGTGTTATCACCACAGTAAGAAGGACTCACGGGGCAGGTCTTACCAGGAGACTAATCATACAGCCCAGGCATTGTCGTCAATATCTGCCCTGACCAAACCTTTCTCTTTCAGCAGAACCAAAGCCAGAGGTGCACCCATGTCCCTCCTGTTCTCTGGCCTTCTCCAGTCAGAAATTCCTCAGCCAACACGTGAAACTCAGTCATCCCTCTCAGATTCTGCAGGGAACATCTGCAAGAAAACAGCTCCAAGCAGAGGAACCCTGTCCAGAGGATCAGAATCAGCAGCAGCAACATACTAGTACGCACAGCTGGAATGATAAACCTGAAGGTCAAGAGGTCAAAGAAAGGTCCAAACATTTGCTTAAAAGAATCAGTCAAAGGAGAATCTCAAAACCCCTTTTCCAACCTTCCAAAGAACAAATGAGCTCTAGTGAGCACGAGAGACTGATGGAAGAAGAGCCCCGGAGAGGTCAGAAAGAGAATCCAGAGGACACAGGCAAGTTCTTTGTGAAAGGAGGAATGTCAAAAATTGTAACAATCAAGCATGGAGGGTGTTGGCAAGGCATTAATGATGGATCACATCTCATCACACATCAGGTGACACAGTCTGGGGAGAAGCCCTATGTTTGCAGGGAGTGCGGGCGAGGCTTTGCATGCAAGTCAGATCTCATCACACACCAGAGGACACACTCTGGGGAGAAGCCCTATGTTTGCAGGGAGTGTGGGCGAGGCTTTGCATGCAAGTCAGTTCTCATCACACACCAGAGGACACACTCTGGGGAGAAGCCCTATGTTTGCAGGGAGTGCGGGCGAGGCTTTACACAGCAGTCAATTCTCATCACACACCAGAGGACACACTCTGGGGAGAAGCCCTATGTTTGCAGGGAGTGTGGGCGAGGCTTTACACGCAAGTCACATCTCATCACACACCAGAGGACACACTCTGGGGAGAAGCCCTATGTTTGCAGGGAGTGTGGGCGAGGCTTTACACAGCAGTCAGTTCTCATCACACACCAGAGGACACACTCTGGGGAGAAGCCCTATGTTTGCAGGGAGTGCGGGCGAGGCTTTGCATGCAAGTCAGTTCTCATCACACACCAGAGGACACACTCTGGGGAGAAGCCCTATGTTTGCAGGGAGTGCGGGCGAGGCTTTGCATGCAAGTCAGTTCTCATCACACACCAGAGGACACACTCTGGGGAGAAGCCCTATGTTTGCAGGGAGTGTGGGCGAGGCTTTACACAGCAGTCAGTTCTCATCACACACCAGAGGACACACTCTGGGGAGAAGCCCTATGTTTGCAGGGAGTGTGGGCGAGGCTTTACACAGCAGTCAGTTCTCATCACACACCAGAGGACACACTCTGGGGAGAAGCCCTATGTTTGCAGGGAGTGCGGGCGAGGCTTTGCATGCAAGTCAGTTCTCATCACACACCAGAGGACACACTCTGGGGAGAAGCCCTATGTTTGCAGGGAGTGTGGGCGAGGCTTTACACAGCAGTCAAATCTCATCACACACCAGAGGACACACTCTGGGGAGAAGCCCTATGTTTGCAGGGAGTGTGGGCGAGGCTTTACATGCAAGTCAGTTCTCATCACACACCAGAGGACACACTCTGGGGAGAAGCCCTATGTTTGCAGGGAGTGCGGGCGAGGCTTTACATGCAAGTCAGTTCTCATCACACACCAGAGGACACACTCTGGGGAGAAGCCCTATGTTTGCAGGGAGTGTGGGCGAGGCTTTACACAGCAGTCAAATCTCATCACACACCAGAGGACACACTCTGGGGAGAAGCTCTGTTTGCAGGTGGAGTGAGTAAGTCATTAGCATTAAGCCACATATCAATAGCCATAGGAAGTCCACAGCCCCTTACTCTCCCCAAGATTGTAATTAGTATAGAAGTAACTGGTTAAACAAACCCTCAAATTTCATTACAAAACATGAAATGGACAAACAGTTCCATAGTGATATGGGGATGTCAGCACCAAACTCGTTCGTGGTTTTTTGACCTATTCTAAAATGTTTTGTCTCCATACACATCTCTCATTTTCCCCATCACTGAAAGCAGAGGATTCCTAAAGAGCCACAAAGAACTCATACTCTCAGCCACAGAAATTCAATTCCGACAAATGTGTAAATGTGAAATCAGTCTACTTTCGTTACTCCAGAAAGAGAGGGATTTGAGACAGACTCACCCAGGAAGGTAATTCCCCAGTCTCCTGGAAAGGGCCTTTTCTCCTAATCAGCTCCATACTTCTCCCTTGCCTTCTCTTGGCTCTTCTGGTTTCCTACAACCTCTGGAGTCTCAGAGATGAATGGCAGGGAGAGACGGATGCTTGTGCATGGACATGAGCTGCTCAGTCTGGGCACTTGGTCTTCCTCACTCTCCTTGCTCCCTTTTCAGGGTCAGTATTTCCTAGTGCACAGCATACAGATTCCACATCAGTCCATACTTGGTATGAGTCTCAGCTCTCTCTCCTCCAGCTGTGTGACCTAAGGCAAGATTCTCAACTTCTCTCTGCCTGCTTCCTAGTCTGTGCAATGGAAATGGGAACTCCAGCCTTTTGGTTTGACATTCAAAGTTGAGTCAGCACAGACAGAATCTAGCAAGAGGATCGCTGACATCGCAAGCCCTACTGAACAGCCTTCAGTGCCCATGTCTTCCTGGTCTTTAGTGGTGGACAAAGGAAGATTAGGACAAGGGTTTTTAACCAAATTCAGAATTTGAGCAGATCCCACTGCTTTCCCCACACAGACTGAACTGCCCTGAGAAGGAAGCCTGAGGTTGGGGAGGTGCCTCCCCCTGATCACCACCCTCTCACTGAGCCTGGGCATCCTCAGAGCCTCCTCAACACAGGCAGGTGGTGCTGAGAGTGAGCTGTGAAACAAGACCCTCACCCACCCCTTGCTGAGAACTGACACTGGGAACAGCACCTGCCTGCACTGGGGTGTTAGGTAGATGGTGAGCCAAGGCAGGGAGGACGAGGAAGATGGGTGTCACCCACTGACTCAGCAGTCCTGCGCCTGGTCCAATTCCATTGCCAGATGTTCCAGCATCACAGGAAACACCATGCTAACACGTTGAAATTCTAGCTGATGTTTCCACTATCTGGGAAAGAAAGGCTTTCAAACTGTATTCATCCCAAGGCCTAGAAGATGGAAGGGGGTCTACAGCACTCACGGAAAGACCTGTAAAACAAATCTGGTTAATTCCTTACCTCTGTCCACTGTCTTTTATGAGAGGGTCCCTAGTGCTTACAGAAAGCCCATCGGTAACTTTGGGTAACTGCCTCAATTTAAACTGTCTCCTGTCATTCATCTATTTTACAAGATGACCAAGGGGTCAGAAGCAAGATAAGGATTCAGGCTAATGACCCCCACATATACCTACGTTTGGGTAGTCCAACCCCTTGGAAGCTGGCACCACTTTTACCCACCAACTATATAACTCCCCAGGACAAAGGGCCTGGTGCTCTTGCCACCCAAGCCCTTGCCTTTCACCCCCACCTCAGCAAGACCTGTCCTCTTCCATGAGAATGTGTCACTAATAAACCCTGCTTGCACGCTAATACACTTGCTGATCTGTTATCCCTTACTGCGTTGGCAGGAACTGAGTTTCTCCTGTGACAGGTGCACCCAATCTGCATACAGCATTCATGAAGCCCGCAACACAGCAGCTTTTCTAACGCCCTCTCCTTGTACCTGGGCCCCACAGAGTTTAATGCACCACTGACACCATCTCAAAATTATTACTTATCATATCTTTGAACTTGTTTGTGAAGTCTGATGGGATAATAGACATGCACAATGTTGGTCATTCCTGGCCACCCATTCCCAGATAATGTCCACAATGGCCCAGGAGCAGAAAATTCCTGTGCACCCAATGGATGGGAGTCCAGCAAAACTCAAGGTGACAACAGGGTAAACATCTACATCTGCATAAACATAAGGAAGGGTGCTAACAGCTCCCAGAGGTCACACTTTTCTTAGAACCAGAGCTGAATTCAATACACAGATGTCAAACATTCAGTGAGGACCCCATCATACCCTCTCCTGCACGAGGGAGACCTACGCATGACCCACCCCATTCTTGCTGCAGTGGGTTCGCCAAAGTGGGAAACCCACCCCCATGACCTGGAAGGATGTTGTCCATGCCGCAGATCTGAAGTTCACCAGCCCGATTATCAATCCGGGCATGTGCCTGAGTTCAGAGTTCAGTCCCCAGGTGGGGGAGCGTGAGATGCAACTAATAGATGTTTTTATTTTCTCTCCCCTTCCCATCCCCTGTCTAAAGTAAATAAAATCTTTTTTTCAAAAAGACACTTGAGCAACAGGAAAGTAACAGCGTGTTCTTGGAGAGAAAAATATATAATGATTTCCATTTTCCACAGTTACCTATAAATATATAATCTAGTTTAAAATATCAGCAAAAAAATTTTTTATTCCTCACCTGAGGACATGCTTATTGATTTCAGAGAGAAGGGAAGGGAAGGAGAGAAACATCGATGTGAAAGAGAAACATCAAAGGGTTGTCTCCCCACTGGGCACCAAACCTGCAACCTAGGCCTGTGCCCTGACTAGAGCTTGAACGACCACCTTTTGGTTTATGGAATTATTATGGGAGAAACTCAGTTCTCTTTGCTAATGCAGTAAAGAATTACAGATCAGCCAGTCTATTAGTGAGCAAGCAGGGTTTACTAGTGATACATTCTTGAGGAAGAGGATGGGTCTTGCCACGGTGGGGGTGAGAAGCGTAGATTCTGGTCAGGGCTAGGTAAGAGTGGCAACAGTCAAGGGCAATGGTGGCAAGAGCTTCAGGTCCTTGGTCCTAAGGAATTAGGTAGTTGGCAGGATTGGGGTGAAGAAGTGACATATTAACTGGTGGGTAAAGGTGGTGCCAGCTTCCATGGGGGTAAGTAACTACCCAAATGCAGGTATGTGTGGGGGTCTGTTAGCTTGAATGCTTATCTCATCCCAGACCCCATTTGTTCCTCTTGTAAAACAAATACATAACAGGAGCCAGTTGAAGTTTGGGCAGTTACCCAAACTTATAAATTATTTATGGGCTTTCTGTAAACATTAGGTACTACCTCGTGAAACAGATGGTGACCAGAAGTAGGCAAGTAACCAAAGTTGCCTTGTGGGCTTCTTCGGGCACTGTGGACACCCTCCCACCTACCTTGGAATTAACACACAGTTTAATTCTAAGGCTTTCTTTCCCAGACAGTGGGAACAATACATAGAATTCCCTCCTCGTGCGCTACCATGTGTTTCTTGTGATATTCTGAACGCCTGGCACTGTTATGAAATCAGGCTGAGGGTGGCTGAGTCAGTGGGTGAGACATGTTTCCCTTTTCCTTTCCTTAGTTTGCTATCTATCCTACCTTACAAGACAATGCTCCAGGAGACTGAGCCACATTGGCCAGGGCTCAGCAATTTTTTAAAAAGTAAAACAAGCTGTTTCAGTTTACCTTTTAAAATAAGGAAGAAGTAAAAGGTGTATTGTATTACGAAGCTACAGTAAGTACAACAGTGGATTAATGCCTCATGAATAGACAGATTGATGGAAAAGAATACAGGGCCCATTAATATATACAGATCCACATAGAAATTGTGTTTTGTTTACTATTTTAAATTTATTGACTTATTTTTCATTTGGAACATCTATTCTTTCCCTCTCATATGCTCCCAACTGATGACCTGGCTCACAGCCTGTCACAGGTGGGCACAGGTAACCAGGTTCTTGATGATAGCAAACAAAGAATTGAACAGAACACAGAGAGTTTATAGCAGACAGATGGAGAACAGATTTATTAAGTGATAGTACACTCCACAGAACATGGGAGTGGGCTGACTTCAAACAGACTGATCTCAGGATCTGGAGGGATTCTATACTTACAGGGTGATACTTCTTGGCTACTTTTGGCAGGGATTTATTGCCCATGTACAAGTAGTTCTATTACTTTAAAGCTACTGCATATGTGGTCTCCCATGAACTTCCTTGACTGACCACCAGGGAAGGGGGTCTCACAAGGCTGATTTATTGCAATGCTATTATAATGAAGCAGGGGTCATGTAGCATCTTCTGTGCAGGTGTAGTTATGATTCGCCATGATTCAGTGCTTTTCCAGAAAGCAGGAACAACTGGTCTTAGAACAGGGTCTCTGTCCTGTATCGATGTCCTTTCTCTTAGCCCTGGAGCACCCCCAAAGATTCCTCCTGACCATCTCCTGCCTCAAACCCAGGTAAGTGCTCTGACTGGGGATGGAACTGGTGACCTTTTGGTTTGCAGGCAGATGCCCAGCCCACTGAGCCACACCAGTCAGAGCCATTGCTTGAGTCTTGAATGTGGCTTGACCAGGAATTAAACCTGTAGCCTTATTTACTCCCCACCCCCAAAAATAACCGTGTAGAGATATAAAAAAACTTCACATGACCCCTGGCTGTTGTGGATCAGTAGACTGAGCACACAGGCTTCTCAACCAAACGACCACAGTTGGATTCCCAGTGAAGGCACATGGCTGTGTTGCAGGCCAGATTCTCAGTTTGGGGTGTGTGAGAGACAACTGGTTGATGTATCTCTTACACACATTGATGTTTCTCTCCCTGTCTTTCTCCATTCCCTCCCCCTTCTCTAACAATAAATTTAAAAAATTTAAATAAACCTAACATGAGCAGCAAAATTGGATTCAACATTTAGGGATGACCCACTATACCCAACATTTCCTTCTGATCTGCACCAAGGTGTTTTCCCAACGTGAACACCAGATGGCAGAAGAGAGGGACACTTGGAACACTATATTGTACTGTAAAGCAAGTTTCAACAAACTTCAAAACATTGAAATTATGCAAAGCATATTGCTGACACTAACTGCAGTCAACCTAGAAATGAGTAACAAAGGGTTACTAAAAAGTCCTTCTTTTTTTTTT